GAAAGATGATGCCCGGTTGCAGGGCCACTATGAGTCAGAACCGACTCCACCGCACATAACCAAACTGGTGTGGAGTCCTGGTGTGGTGCTATGGATTAATGCGCTGGACTGCAAGGTCAGTTTGAACCACAAAACCGGCAGTTCAAGTTCACCAGCCGCTCCTTGGAAATCCTATATAAGGGTCTCAAGGAGCTCTGGTAGCGTAGTGGTTACGAATCGGGCTGCGAACCGCAAGGTCAGCAGTTCGAAACTACCAGCTGCTCCACAGGAGAAAATGAGGCTTTCTGCTCCCGTAAAGATTTACAGCCTCGGAAGCCCTGTTCAGGGTCGCTATGGGTCGGAACCGACTCGACGGCACTTAACAACAACAATAACAAGTAGCTCTGGTAGCATAGTGGTTACGAATCGGGCTGAGAGCCACAAGGTCAGCGGTTCGAAACTACCAGCTGTTCCGCGAGAGAAAGATGAGGCGTTCTGCTCCCATAAACATTTACAGCCTTGGATTCCCTATGCAGGGTCGGTATGAGTCAGAACCGACTCCACAACAACAACGAGTTGGCACTTAACAGCAACTTTGCTTGTGGTGATTTGAAAACAGTTTCCAGTAACCAGCCATGGTACTCAGTACTTGGGCAAGACCTGGACAAGTTTTTGGCCCTACAATCAGACCTCACCTGTTTTGTATACTTTCTGATAATTTGCATTACACAAGGCAGCTTTCCAATTCGTATCATAATAAATATCATACTTTATTACAGTCTACAAAGTGCTTTTATAACGATATCCCCATTAGATCCTTAAAACGTCACTGTGAGATGAATCTACAGAGAAGCAAGGATTTACTAGGAAATGAAATGACAAGACAGGGAGTAGAACCTACTCCCTGGATTTTGTGAGCACCACACCTTAATGCCACATAGAACTGATTTCTAGCTCCCACTTTTTTGTAGGTTAGACCAGTCTTTAGGGGAAAGCAATTGGATGTACATATGTCCTCCGAACGTGTAAATAAAAACCTTAAGTGTTCAAGCTTAAGGCACACCATGTGCTGTGGAGATAGTTGTTGTTAGTTGCCTGTTGAGTGGATTTCATCTCATAGTGACCCGTGTATTACAGAGTAGGACTGTCCTAGAGGGTTTTCTTGGCTATAATCTTAAAGGGAACTAAATGGAGTGGCCTTTTCTTCCCCTGTAGCAATGGCTGGATTCAGTGCACAGCTTTCCCGCTATCTATTTACATCTTTACTTCCTAGGGCTAAGTATACCAACTCGTGCTTGATCCAGCTGGGTGGTGGAGCCGAGAGTCACTGAGCTTCTCCAGACCTCCGTGTCTTCCTCTGTGGAACAGGGTTGTTCTCGGGAATATTAAATGAATGAGATAGAGATTACAAGGAGTAGCTCACTTTTGCTCAACTCCTTCCTAAGTGTTTCACCCTCCCGCCTCAAGGGTGAATTCAAAGCAGGTCACGTGAAAGAGGCCCGACAGTTCTGAAAAGCACTTTCAAAAACTGGCTTGGGCAAACAGCTCGGAGTAGACCCACTCAGACGGGGTGGGATGAGAGGGGTGTACCGCCTGGAACCAGTGTCCTGAGGCCCTTCGCCAAAACGCTGCCGGCCCGAAAGCAGGGCATCCTCTTAACCACTGCGCAGGGTTCCTGCAGCGAAGCCAAGCTCGGCCCTACACCCAAGCGGAAAGGCGCATGCGTAGCCGTGGGGCGCTGCCACCAGAGGGGCGTGTTAAACCGGGAGCTGTTAGTTTGCTGGGGAGAGAACTGCGCCTGCGCCTAGGTAACACAGGGCACTGGGCGTTAAGGGCAGGGTCACTTGGGGTCTCAGCGATCGTCCTGGAACCTAGACTTCTAGAACCTTGGTTCTGGGCGCTTGTGAAGACTCCAGATTCCTGTGTAAATCCCAGGAATCTCCAGTCTTAATGACCCCAGATAATTCTGACAGAAGTGGTCCTCATTGGCTGGCCCCACTTCCTTGTAAAAAGTGGAGCATCGAAGCAGAGAAATGACTGGCTCAAGGTCATTGTTTCATATACAGGCTTACCTTGTTTTACTGCACTTCTCTTTAGTGTTTTGCAGATGGTGCGAACTGACTAGTAGCGTCCCTATATAGGGTTTACTGCATACTTAATAGACTATAGTGTAATAACAAAATAATGTAAACATAACTTTTTTTCTGTTGTTGTTGTTGTTAAGTGCTACAGAGTCAGTTTCAACTCATAGCAACCCTGTGTAGGCTTTCCGAGGAGTAGCTGATGGGTTTGAACTGCTGACCTTTTGATTCTCAGTCCAGTGCTGATCCTACTAGCATTAAGTGCTGTCAAGTCAGTTCTGACTCATATCAGCCCTGTATAAGGTTTCCGAGGAGAGACTGTGGATTTGAACTGCCGACCTTGTTGTTAGCAGTACAGTGCATATACTACAGTGCCACACCTGGCTTCTTCTACTCACTGGAAAACCAAAAATTTATAACTCAGTTTTTGCAATGTTCACTTTAATGCAATGATCTGGAACCAAACGCTCAATATCTCTGAAGTATGCCTGTATCCTATTTGTTGTCTCATTTTCAGAGACTGGTTTAATCAGTACCAGTCAGGCTGGCAGGCAGCTCCCTCACATTGTTTGGGCTAACTGAAGCATTAACGTCCCATTCCCACATCCAACAATTCCACATCCAAGCTCCCACTCCAGCTTTGACCCTTTTCCAGGATGATCTTAATCAGTTTAGGGGTTGGAGCACCCTGGACGAAGCTTTGCCTACCCACTCCTCAAATAAACAACAGACTTAGATGCACACACCTGCTTTATCTCCACACATACTCCTCCCTTCATGTGCTCATGAAGGATCATTAATATATGGTATCATAGCAGAACCCAACAAGAATATCAAATGTTCTTGTATCTACATGTGTCTAGATTTGGGGGGGGGGGTTGGGCCCACCAATGTGTGTTGGATTCTGGCTTATTCATTATGAGCAGTGAGTGGCCCCATCCAGGGCAGTTGTGTCACGTATGCAAACAGCTACATCCCAGGACCTGGCTGGGGAAAAGGACACTCCCCTCATGAGAAGCAACTGGGACCCCCATTAAGGATAAGGAGAGCCAAGATCCCCTACAACACTCCCAAACCCACTGGAGTCTGCCATGAACCCTCCCCAGGACAAAGCCCAGAAAACAAAGGCTGCCTGTGGAGGAGAGGGGCTTGGGGCTGCAGAAGCTTGGGCCCTATTTGCTTTCTAGGATCCTACCAGGTTTGGGAAGGAGCTCTGGTAGCATAGTGGTTACGAGTCGGGCTTCTAATCTCAAGGTCAGTTGTTCGAAACTACCAGCAGTTCTTCAGGAGAAATATGAGGCTTTCTGCTCCCGTAAAGACTTACAGCCTTGGAAACCCCATACAGGGTCACTATGAGTTGGAACCGACTCCACGGCACACCACCACCACCAGATTTGGGGAGAGCGTAGGTAGCAAAATAATTCTGCTGGGTTTCCTAGAGAACCTACAGATCCACACCCTGATCTAGTTCTATGGGTGCTCTCCTTAAAGCCCCACAACATTCAGTCCACAACCATGCCACCTTGCCATTCCTCACAAATCTTTGCCCCTCTTTATCTGTCCTGCCCCAGACGAGCTGCCTCTAAATCTTAAGGCTGTAATTCTTTCTGAGAAAGCCAGGAATAGAGCTGTGAGTCCCATTTCCCATGGGGGACTTCCAACTCTCCCTCCTGGCTCCAGATGTAAAGGAACAGCTGTGGGGATGGCAGGCAGCCCAGCTGGCAGCTAAGTAGGGCCTGTGAAGATGGACAATGAAGGCAAGAGAGGCAGACTGATGGCAGGGCTGTGAGGATTCTAAAGGCCCGGGAAGAGAACCATTTCATCCTCTGGCCTGCTGACTGGCTGCGAGGTCTTGCCAAACCTCTCAGACACTGCCCTACAGCCTTGTCCACTCTAATCCTGGCAGCCTGGGCCATTGGGAGGACCTTCCATATACTCCATTTTATGATTCCCACTTGCTCTGGGAAGGGAAACTTGGCATCCTTTGTTGGACCCCACCCCTGTCCTCAAAACACACCTCCCAGCATTCAAATTTGGTAATTGACGACTGGAAAGGGAGAAAGGAAGGAGGACAAGAGGGCTCGGTCAGCACCGGCTGCCTCTTCTCAGCTCTCAGCCACTTCTCTCTGAAGTGAACCCAGACTCAGGGAGCCAGGCTGGGTGTACAGCAAGCAGGGCTGGTGTGGGCACCAGTGGCTCACCACTGGCTCACCTGCTATGCCAGAGTGACAATGCACTAATTGGCACTAGCCACTATATTCAGTAAAGATTTTTCTCCCCTGGACCCTGCTCTGGATCCCGCTGCCAGGAGAGGAGAACCCCTATGATTCCTCCATCAATGTCCTCACCACCCTGCAACAACAAACGCACCACAACCGCTTCAGTTTTAGGAAAAATAGTTTTAATGGCAGGTTTGAAACCTCTCATCTAGATAGAGCCCCCTTCTCTACAGAGCTCCCCACGAATGCTCTTCCCATGCCTGCTGGGAGGTCGCAGCCTCTGGGGTACCCCCACTCCTCCAGACTCCCCCACCCTGCTGAGAGGCCTGTTTTGAGCCTATCATGTATGTTTTCATAAAAAGTAAGCACAATACTGTACTATGCCCCTTTTCTGAGTGTCACGGGACCAGCCCACAGCACCTTCATTAAATAGCCCATTAAATACTCTCTCAGCTGGCACATTGGGGAGGCCACTGCAAATCCAGTCCTTGGTTGGTTTTTGCAATCCCAGTGCCTCCGCCATGACTACATCTGGGCTCCGCAAGAGCAGCCTGGGGCATGGCCACCTGTCAGCCCTGGGCAGTCCAGGGACCTTCTCCCCAGACACGGGGAGGGCTGTCCAAGTGGATCGAGCTTGCACCAGGCACCCCCACAACCATGGATGGGGGCAGGGTCTCTCAAAGCGGAGTGGACAGGTTGATGAGTACATTTCTTGTTCACATCAGAAGTAAGTGAGGTTCTTGACAACTCCAGTTTCTAGCATCCGCTTGATGGCCAGTGCTTCCTGGGACACGTTGTGGCCTGACCCCTGTGAAAGAACCAAAGAGGCAAGCTCAGGGACTTCCCAAGATGTCTCTGCCCATAGGACAGTCTCTCATCCCTTCCCCACTTCTCCATGATGCCTCTCAGGAGGAAAACAGTCAGTGAAGTTGGACCTGGAAGACCCTGGCCTGGGAGTGCAAAGACAATTCCAATTCTGACTCTCTGAATGATCTTACCACAAGTCACTGACCCCTGGCACACCCTCACTTTTTCAGTGCTCCCAGGCCACTCCAACCCCATTAGTCAAGCGGCAAGGGCTGCTTACCGCCATGGACTTGAGTGTGACCTGCTCGTAGTAGTGAATACTCTGCTTCTTGTTGTAGATGTCTGGGTAGCCAAAGCCAGCAATGTGCACCAAGTCACAGAAGTGGAGGGCCAGGGTGATGGCCAACAGGCCTGTGGTGGGCTTCTGGGGAATGAGGAGTGGGTGGGGTAGGTTTTAGAGGAGTTCCTGGGCCTTTCACCATTTTCTAGACCATTGCAGCCCAGTAGACCTTTCTATGAATATGAAAATGCTCTCATCTGTGCTGTCCAGTACTGTAGCCACAAGCACATGTACCTACGGAGCAGGTGAATGGAGTGTGCATAACTGACGAACTGAAGTTTCAATATAGTTTGTTGTTCTGAAGTGCCATCAAGTCGGTCACCCTGTATAGGGTTTCTGAAGAGCAGCTGTTGAGTTTGAACCGCCGACCTTGTGGTTCAAACTGACCTTGTGGTACAAGTGCTTATCCTAAAGCACCACATCAGGACTTATAAGCTAATTTTCATTTAAATAGCCACATGTGTCTAGCATGTATCATATTGGTTGGTGCAGTTCAACACATGGTTGTTAATGGCAATATGGCAGTAACAATAATTTTTTTTTTTTTTTTTAGCACTTAAACTATATAGTAGACACACTGTCAAGTATTTCAGTATATATGTAGTAAAATCTCATTCTGCGTAAGATGTTATTGTTGCTATTGTTGTTGTTGCTAAGTGCCACTGAGTTGGTTCTGACTCATAGTGACTTTATATAGGATTTTAGAGGAGTGGCTTTTGTTGTTGTTAAGTGCCATTGTGCTGGTTCTGACTCATAGCAGCCCTGTACAGGGTTTCCAAAGAGTGGCTGATGGGTTTGAATTGCCAACCTTGTGGTTAAAAGTTCAGTGCTTAACCTACAGTGCCACACTAGGACTCCAAGATATTATCTCCATGTTACAGAGAAAACAGGCTTACAAATGTTAAGCAGTTTTTCCCTTTCTTGGAGAATGTTGGGTCTTTCAGAAGACCTGGGGGTTCTGCCACTTATTTGCTTTTCTGGGGGTGGGCTCTCCCCTCTGTAAAGGGAAGACAGCAATATCTTTCCTGTTCAACTTATGCGCTATATAAAGCCCTCTCTTAGAAGGCCATCCTTACAAGCCAGGATGACTAGATTTTGCCCCTCATACTTCAGACATATTATCAGAAGAGGCCACTTTCTGTAGAAGGACATCATGCTTGGTAAAAGGGAAGGTCAGCGAAAAAGAGGGAGGCACACCCCGTGATATGGATTGACACAATGGCGGCAGCAATGGACTCAAACTTAACAACAAGTGTGAGATTGAAAAGGACTGGGCAGTGTTTCTTTCTGTTGTGCAGAGGACCGCTGTGAGTCAGAGCTGATTCAATGGTACCTAACAACAACAGTGACACCATCACTTCCTCCATCTCTAATCCATTCAGAGAGGGATATTCTAACCTCAAGTCTTGCACTTCTCAGCTCCAATGACCTGCTTTCCAGACACTTCAGATACCCACTCCCATTTGGGAGCCATGTCCTAAACCTTGTCAGGCCCCTAATGTCAGTCTTTCCCAAGGGTCCCTGTCCAAACACTCCTGTATCTTTTACCTGCTTCCTGGTCGGCTTTGTCACCCTTCTTACTTTAATCCCCACTGCAGTATCTATCTCATCCCTGTTCTCACCCCAGAGCAGGCCCTGCTGAAACAGACTCTCATCATCTCCTAGCCAGCTATGCCTGGACATGGCATTCAAAAACCACAACTCTCCTCGTCCTCCCCTGGTATTCCCTGGTATCTTCTTATCCAAGCTGGGACCCTCAAATTGATCATAAATCTTTCAATTCAATTTCATCCCTAAGAATACGAAAACGATCCCCAGTGACACTCGTCCTCATATAACTTCCTCCCCTTGGAATGTTTGTGGTAATTTGTTATACAGCACTAGAAAACTAATGCAGATACAAAGCCCATCCCTTCCCTTCCTTTCTCATTGCCAAGGTTCAAGTTTTTACCTCCTCTTGTCCCTGTCCCCATCCTTCACGACCCTCTACCTCACGTGTCTCTATAATGTCACTCCTCAACTTCATTTGCACGAGACCGACTCATTTCTCGACAACTGGAATGCCTTTCCCCAATTCTCTACCTGATAAACCACCATGATTCCTTAAGGCTCTACTAATGTCTCCTCTGGAAAGCCTTCCCAGACAGCCCTAAGCAGAAGTTAGGCCTTCCTCCAACATCTGAAACAATCCTCTATTGTGGCATTTTTTCACTTGACAGCATAACCTGTTTTTTTATTCGATTACACCGATTTTCATTAGGGCTAAGAGCATGTCTTACTCATCAAGCATGCCAACTTGGGGGCTGGCACTAAGCAGGCAAAAGCAGAGATTCAAAACATATTTGTTTAATGAAGTTGAATAATAATAGATAAAGAAAAGAATCATTTATTCAAAATTTGGCAAATATGTATTGAGCACTCATTGTGTACCAATCATCATAACAGAGAGTTTACATTATTAATCATCTTCTTAAATCGTGCAGTAGCTCTACTGTTGCTACTGTTATGTGCCGTGGAGTCAGTTCCGACTCATAGCGGCCCTGTACAGGGTTTCCGAATTGCTAATCCTGAGGTTTACAGCCCGATTTGTAACCACTACGCTACCAGAGCTCCTGGTAGCTCTACTAGGTCAATACTAATAATGCCCACACAATTACTGTTGTTGGTTGCTGTTGAGCTGAACTGTGTTTCAGAGGGTTTTCAGGGAGTGACCGTTCCGAAGCAGATACCAGGCCTGTTTTCTGAGGTGCTCTGAGTGAATTCGAATCACAAACCTTTCAGCTAGCAGCTAAGTACTTAACTGGCTGCACCACTCAGGCACTCCTAATTCCACCACATGGATGGGAATCCCAAAGAGCTAAGCAACTGACTTGCAAGGCCACCCAGTAAAGAGCCCAGCCAAGAGCTGTAGGTAATGTGCCCCTTTCCCTTTTCTACACTGTCTCTCTGAGAGGTTCAAGAGAGGGGTGTGAACTGCCTGGGAAGCTGTGAAGTGTGTTAAAGTCCACCAGCCGAAGATGACCAGGAGCTGAAGCTGAAACCATAATATACAAAACTGAATTGACTCACAAAATTGATAAAACATACCAAACCACGGCAAGGAGCTCTGGTAGTGTAGTGGTTACGAATCAGGTTGTAAACCTCAGGATTAGCAATTCGGAAACCCTGTTCAAAACTACCAGCTGTTCTGTGGGAGAGAGATGAGGCTTTCTGCTCCCATAAAGATTTACAGCCTCGGAAACCCGTATGCAGGGTCGCTATGAGTCAGAACCAACTCCACGGCACATAACAACAACCACCAAACCATGGCATGCAAGGCACACAGTTTAAGCTAAAACACTTAATTTACAAGGTAAAACTACAAACAAACTCTCCTAACAGCAACACAGTCCCAGGCTATTGGTTCTAAAGATAAGACCACTGAGTATTCTAAGCAATTCCTCAGTTTACAAATTCTGAACAATACCTGCCAAAATCATCCTGTAACTCCAGCCCCCAAGCCCTCTGAATGACTTCCCACTTTTGAGATGCCCCAGGTTCTTAACAGTGTTTTCTCTTGGTGCAGCAAGCTAATATATCTAACTTTGATTTACAGATATATTCTTGAAGGTTGGTGGGCTATAACAGGTGCTAGTCAAAGTCTAGGTGTGGCACTGCTCAATCAGCACTGGACTACAAACCACAAGGTTGGCAGTTCAAATCCATCAGCTGCTTCTCGAAAGCCCGATACAGGGTCACTATGAGTTGGACCAGACTCAACGGCACTTAACAACAACAACATTCAAATGCAAAGGAGTTCCAGTGGTGCACTGGTTAAAGCATTCAGTGGCTAACCAAAAAGTTGCTTCAAATCCACCAGCCTCTTCACATGAGAAAAATATGGCAGTCTGCTTCCATACAGATTACAGACTTGAAGGCCTTCTGGGACAGTTCTACTCTGTCCTATTGGGTTGCTATGAGTCAATCTATTCAAATGCAAAAGTGAGTATTCAAATGCAAGCTGCTGTTTCTATTCTTCCCTCTTCTGGGATGCTCTGGGCCCTGGTGTGGCAATATAGGATTAGCACTGGACTGGTAACTGCAAGGCTGGCAGGTCAAATCCACCAGCTGAGGGAAGTCTCACCTATGTTCCATCCAAGAGTCCAACCCTCTGGCCTGGCTTCCCACCCTCAAGCCCTCATCACCTGCTTAATCTTGCGTGGCTGCTGCATCGGCAGGCTCAGTAGTCTATCAGCTGCAATCTCCATAAAGAATGGGTTGAGAATCCGAATCTGTTTTGGGTTGACATCCCAGATGAGGGGAGGCTGTTTCCAGAAACCCTTTCTCACCTAGAGGGGTGGGATTAGAAGGAAAAGATAGCAGTAAAGATGTTTTTTGTTTGTTTTTCTTTAATGTTTTATTGTGAATTATGTGATAGTTTACATGGGAGAACATCAGCTTTACATTCATCCTATTTTATATCATTTTATTGCCATGGTTACAATCCCCTCCATGCATCATCAACCAAAGGGTACACCCTGCAAGCCTGCCCCCTAGTTGTCAGCACACAGCCCCTCTCTCTCTCTGTGTCTAAAGTCCCCAGCTGCTCCATTTCTCCACGTCCTAATCTCTGCCTCCATCTCTGGCATCACTGTTTCTCTGAGTAGTGTCCTGCACTCCGCTCTCCAGGGACCTCTGCTCCTGGACTGCAAAGTCAATCACTCCCCTCCTTTTGCTACAAAATGTCTACTTTTATATTTTCAATCCTCACAGTCAGTCTTTATAACAATAATTCGCTATTGTACCACAAGAAACTTATCCCTATCTCCTTTCACTAGCCCTGCCCAGACAGATTGGCTACTACTCAGTGGAGATTCTACCTTTCTCCACGCCCTCTGGATCTAGGCTCCCTCTTGAAAGTTTGTAAGCCCGTTGCTTCTTGCCTTTGTAGACCCCTCATTTTGGGTAGCCAATGTCCAAGTTGCCCATCCCTGTATACTCTGTGTATGGAGGGGGTGGAAATGATCCTCACTGTAAAGATTTGTTCCCTCTTTTGAGCTACTGCATCCATAGGTGTAGGTCAAGTTCATCAAATTTTTATCAGATTACTGTTTTTTTCCTCTTCTTTCTTCTCCTAGTTGAGCTCTGATCATCCAGTCATCGAAGCCAGTCAAGTGGGTATTATTTGCAAGTGTGGGTGTTCTTATGTACATGCCCTCTCTTCTTATCAGCTGGATGCTTCATTCTCCACTCTAGTCCTCTGTGGCTATGTCACTAACTCTGGGCCCAAGAGTCCCCAGGTCTTGCCAACACTGCTGGCCAACCAGGTCTCCATCCAGGTTCACAGGAGTCTATCGAACATTGTAAGGCTTAGCTCACAGCTTCATTGCTGTTTTTCCCTCACTTCCCCTTAACGGTGCCGAATGTGGTCACCAATCAGAGCGCATGTCTGCTCATTTATTTCCATTGAGTTTTAGTCTGGGAAGGGGGTTTGCCCTGAGGGGACCTGACCACTTGCCTTGATGTCTCCTGGGCAAGCAATTTGCTTGTTCTTGTAGTAATCAGTAGGACTCCGTTATTGTTTTGTATTTTTCCTGTCGGTCTTCCTTTCAAGAAGTATCTTCTGTTCTTCTAGCCACTCCAGGCTGGTCTGCTTGTCCTTTCAAGTGGAAATTTCCCATCTCAGAAGATTCTGGATGCTGTTCAGGATTCCACCTATAGTCTTATGTAATGCAGAAGATCCGCAGGAAGCCTCCTTCACTGGGCACGTTGTAGCCCCATTTTAGGTATTCCAATCAGTTATAGGCAGAAGATGGACTTACAAGTTTTCTATGGTGATATTTCTGGCTATTCCTTTCTCTCCCCCTCAAATGTCTATTTTATAATGGTATGCCAGAGAAACCAAAATTCAAAAGACAGCCAAGCATCTTAACATTATTTCCCCCCTTTTGCCCATTCCAACCATGTTTCAATCCCTGTATCCCAGGACCCTGTTGTTCCAAGTTTGTGCATACATCATTATTTACCTCTGTCTCACTTAGCCCATGCAAACCTGCCTAATTGTTTTCCCATACATTTTGTTCTTCCATTGCCCTCCCTCTTCTTGTATGTTGCCCCCACTCCCTAGCACCCAAACTATCCTGTATCTATTCCCTGCCCTGTGCTCTACCTTTCCCTCCCTCCCCTCACTTCACCCCCCACATCTCAGTAACCAGCAAAGAATCCCCTCCCCCTTTAGTATGGGTTCTTTTTCTTAGTCTTTTACAGTAGTGGTCCTATACAGTATTTCTCCTTTGGGGACTGACTAATTTCACTCAACATAATGTCCTCAAGGTTCCTTCATGTTATGCGGTGGCTTGTAGCTTCCTTGTTATGTGAAGATCTATTTTTGAAATCTAGCCTGGTGGTCCTCTGTCAGGAGTCCTGGAGAGAGTGCTTGTTGTTATTGTTAAGTGCCGTGGAGTCGGTTCCGACCCATAGCAACCCTGAATAGGGTTTCCGAGGCTGTAAATCTTTACGGAGCAGAAAGCCTCATCTTTCTCCCGCGGAACCGCTGGTAGTTTCGAACTGCTGACCTTGCAGCTCGCAGCCCAATTCGTAACCACTACGCTACCAGAAAGGAAATGGGAAGCAACAGTGCCAGAGAAGAGACCCAGGGAGACAGGGAGCACCCTCTAGAGGAGGCCAGGTGACAAGATTTGTCATAAGGTGGTTGTTGTTGATAAGTACTGTTGAGTTATTTCTGATTCACAGCGACTTTGTATAGGATTTCCAAGGAGCTGCTGGTGGGTTTGAACTGCTGACCTTGTGGTTCACAGTCCAGTGCTGATCCTACAGCGCCATATTCCCCACCTCTACAGTTTGATCCACAAAGTTGGTGGTTCAAACCTACGAGCCGTTCCTTGGAATTCCCATACAGGGTCATTATGAGTCAGAAATGACTTGATGGCACTTAACAACAAGGCTATCCCAAAAGTGAGAAGAAACCTGAGTTAGGCAAACTGCCGAAGAGATATAGTGGGGTCTTTCTGGAGACGACGATGATTCGAACTTGCTGCTGCCTGGACATGACCCTGGAGGGTCTCTCTGGGCCCGTTTCTCACAGGCAGATACACATTTTTATCTTCTTTCCGCTTTCCTGTCCCAGACAGGCCTCAAGCCTGTCAAGACCCTCATCATGCTGTTCCCTGGCTGTGTGTCCTGGCTGCTGGGCCCCTCATGGGGCAGACTGGTGTATACTCTCCCCACACTCACCCGCTTCTTGTCACTCAGAATGGTCTCAATCCAGTGGAAGTCCATTGCCTTGAATGCTACCAGAACCAGGAGTGTGTCTGGGTTATTCTCCACTTTGGGGTCAAAGTGGGCAGACTCAGGGTAGAAGAGACGCATGGTGGTTTTGGAGCCCACATCCCCCTCATAGCCAGCCACTGGAGCGTTGTTCAACCTGGAAGGTGGGGAGGGGGAATACCTGTCACCTAGAGCACCACTGGGTCTTGCCCACTGTCCAATTTCCAAACAGCTTCCAGACAGAAAAGGGTGAGGGGCAGCCATACAGACCTGATGACAACATCATACTTGTTGATGGTTTCTCCCAGTGAGCTGTTCCGCAGCCGGTGCCCATTCCCCACCACAACACAGCGGCGGCACTTCAGGCTGCCATGGGGAGAGGAAGTACAAGGCTCAGAAGCCACCCCTGCCCCACTGAACTCCCACTGCCTGTGGTCTGGCTCATGGTTCCTTCCTAGGCTCCTGTCAACCTCTGATTCTCAGACACCGGGGAGCTCCAAGTAAGTGGTCCTGCTGATGGTCATGCTGGTGGTGTAGCCTGGACTTTAAAGGGCGGGGAAACTGAGAAAGCAAGGAAGAAAGGAGGAGAGGAGGGAAGGTAGATGAGGGATACCAACAAGAAACTGCAGTTTAGAAGCACCCTGCTTGCTGCCCAGTCCTACCTGTTGCCACAGTGATACCCTTAGCAGCCTCTACTACTCTGACACCCAGATGTGTAGGCTGTGTTGCCACAGAAATTGACATACTTGGATCCCCTGGAGCAAGGCAGGTTAGAAAGAAGGGTCAAGGATGACCTCAGGGAACCTGAGACAAGAAGGCTGACTGGGATGGAGCTAGGCCATGACTATCTCATGCCAGGCAGACAGAAGAGAAGGTGGTCAGACGCAGGGAAGGAACATCTCCTTACCTCTGGATGCTCTCTGGCATGGTGTAACTGGTGATGGCTAGAACCCGGAGGAGCAGGTCTTCTACAAAAAGAAAGGTTGGAAGAATACTGATGACAACAACTAGCATTCTGAAGGCTGCCCTCCATCCCTCCTCAGAACCTCAGCTGCTTCTTGACCGCCCTGCCCCTGGACCTGAGCCTGGTTCAGAACAAGGGCGCTGGGGCCATGGGAAACAAAGGTGGCCAAGCGTAATCCATCATTCCTACTAAGCTGGGTGGATACTTACCACTCCCCTTGATCCCGTAGGGCAGCTCATAAGCAGAGGGTGTCTTGACCCAGAAAAAATCCTTAAGCTGCAGGAAAATGGGCTGATTTCGGGAGCAGCTGCACAGAGGTGAAAAGCAGGGTGGGGGAAAGGAAGGGATTAGATGCCCAAATTGGGCAAGGTCCTGACTAACATATGTCCTTCCTGATTTCACATGACCTGAAACCACCATCCTACCCCCTCTCACTCCATCTACCCAGCATCTGAGGCCCCCACGCTAGGAACCCCTCTATCCAACACCACGCCCTGGCCTCCACCTCATCCTCACTTACTTGCCAAAGATCTTAGAGGCCTTCCTCTCCACCTCGCCCTGGAGGCACGGCTCCCTCTTCTCTGGGATGGGAAAATAAAAACTGGAAAAAGGAAGGGAGGGGAGGGAGGGAGGCACTCTAGTCAGACCTCAGCAGTCTAGCAGTCTCAACTTTCTCCAAAGGTGCAAGGGCCCCAAGGTGCTGGGAAGGGACCTGGGGCTAATTCCACTTGCATGGTGGCTCATCTCAACCCAAGTTCCCCTTTGAAACCACGGAACAGAATCTAGCTTTTCCTTTGCCTGCACCCCTGGGTAGGGTGGGGGAGGGGAGCAGAGAGGAAAGGGGAGTCATCTCAGACCTCAGGCCTCATCTGCCCTCCCTAGTATCCCATGCTAGTAGCTGAAAGGGAGAGGTGGTACCCTGGCTGGCTCTATGCTTCTCCTGCCCCACTTAGCTGAAGGCTAGAAATTCTAGCCCCATCCTTAAAAAGAACCAATGAACATGGAAGATGAACTCACAGCTCAATGTACCTGTCTTCTCTGGAGATGGAATACCACACCATGACAACCAGGACCAGAGCCAGCATGGCCAGGAGCTTCCAGCCTGCAGGGTACATGCACAGAGGAGATGGAGACAGAAACAGCTAGGGACAGTCATTCACCACCTTCTCCAGGTTCCTCCAACCCCTAACTGGAAGAGACCCAGGCCCTGGTCTTGTCCCGGCTCAAGCTTTCCAGCATAGGTGTTAGACCTTAGTGTTCCCACAGTCCTTCAGAATGAAGAGCCAGGTCTCTGACTGCCCATTGGTCACTCAACACTGCTGCAGGAGGGTTTATCCTCTAGGGTGGGGGAGCACATGGACCACACTCACGGGACTTGCCAATCATGTTTTTCAGCGGGTGGATCGGTTCCTGGGTAGAGTTGTCATCTTGGTTGCCTCTGGCCACCTAGAAGGCAAGAGTCACAGGTGTCTGTCTAGTAGGTTCCACAAATACTTCTGCCTATATACTGGAGAGCATGCCCACAGCCCGCCCCTTCCCTCTTCCAGAAAGCATGGAAGCTGTTCCAAAGGCCCCACATTATAGACAGATAAGCCTTTCATAGCCTGACACCCTCCTATTATCTTCAAAAGACAACATTCAGGATCTAGCAGTGGGAAGAGGGGATCAGGACAGAAAAAGGGAAGCCAAGGTCCCACCTTGGAAGGATTAGAGGCCAAACTTAAAGTTCCTCTATAGTGATGTCCTCACCTGTTCCCTATTTTGACCTAGGAAAGGCCATTTGAGGGAACAGATGGACACTTGTAGTCACTTTTTACTTTAAAAAACAAAAAAAAAAGTTTAACTTTTTAAGAGTTTACAGTTTTACCCAAATAAGTCTACCTTTTTCACACTGTCCAAGTCAGTATACCCTGGTCTGGTCATCAGCCATCTCTCCATCATCAATCTCCCACTACTCCAGCCAAACAGGTCTGCACAGATCAGCCACCAAGAGAGAAGGGTGGGGCTACAAAAAGGTCCCTGGGGCTTCCTTTAGCCCTTCCTGACTTCAATTAAATGCAAACACTCATGGGTGTGGGGGAAATTTAAAGAAGGAAGGATGTTTGAATGGGGAGCTAGAAGGAAAGACCCTTCCAAGTAGGAGTAGATAGGAGAGTTGCTACCTATACCCCAGAAACTGGCAGAAAGGTTTGTAATCATCCTGGACTCGGCCACCATCCTGGTTCTGAGTCACTAGGGAAGAAATTTCTGCAGCTTCCACAGCCACATGAAGAGGCATGAAGACTCCACCACCTCCACCACCACCAAGCCAGAGCCTTCCATCCACATGGTGTTTTCCAAGTGGTCCTGATCCTAAGAATCAAATACAAATTCCTAAAATATCGATTCCAGAGCCCCTCCCTAGCAGCTGATCCATTAACCTGAGGCAGGCCCTGGGGCAGGCCCTAGTCAGGACTCAGGCATGGCTAGGCATTTTCACAGGCAGCACAGGTGATTTCTGTGATCCAAAACACGAAAGGTCCTGCTGGTGTTTATGTTCTCTGGGGATAAATGGAAGAGCTCAAGTCAAGTCGTGGAAGGCAGCATCTGCACTGTTGCTGTACCGTTTTCACAATTGCTGCTATATTTAAACCCACAGTTGTAGCCAGTGTGTCAATGCACCTCACTAAAGTTCTTCCTCTCTTTCACTGACCCACTACTCGATCAAGAAGGAGTCCTTCTCTGGTGGTGGTGGTTATGTTCTGTGGAGTCGGTTCCAACTCATAGCGACCCTGTACAGGGTTTCCAAGGTTGTAAATCTTTACTGGAGCAGAAAGCCTCATCTTTCTCCCATGAGGGAGACAGCTGGTAGTTTCGAACTGCTGACCTTGCGGTTCGCAGCCTGACTCGCTACCAGAGCTCCTTGAGTCCTTCTCTAGGGACTGACAACAGAGCACTCTGGCTGGACTGCTTCCAAAGCAGATTTCTTCACTCTTCTCTCAGTCCAGGGGATATTGTTACCATTGTTATGTGCCATGGAGTCAGTTACAACTCATAGTGACCTTGTACAGGGTTTCCAAAGCTGTAAATCTTTACGGGAGCAGAAAGCCTCATCTTTCTCCCAAGAGACAGCTGGTAGTTTCAAACTGCCGACCTTGAGGATTGCAGCCTGATTCATAACCACTACACTAATTTATATCTATAGATAAAATACCCTGAATGTAAATGGATTAAATGCACCAGTCAAAAGAGAAAGAGTAACAGAATGGATAAGAAAATATGATCTCCGAGTTTCTGTTTACAAGAGAAACGTCAAAAAGATGGAGACAGCCTAAATGTCCACCAACAAAGAATGGTTAAACAAACTTTGGTACATACACACAATAGAATACTATACAATGTGTAAGAATAATGATGAATCTGTGAAACATCTCATAACATGGATGAACATTATGCTGTGTGAGATTAGTTAATCAGAAAAGGGCAAATATTGTGTGAGACCAATGTTGTTAAAAATTTTAAAAAGGTTTTCATGATAGAAGGAACCATCTATGATGATTATGGGAGTGGAGAGGGTAGGGAAAATCATTCACAGATTAACATGGTTGACAGGGAAGGCAATATACAATAAGAAGGAGGTTAGTTGAGGAAAGATGAAGGTAGCAGGAGAGAGAGGGAGGAATCCAATAGTTCAAGTGAACAGAGGTAAATACTGTTAACCATTGGTACATGGAGGTGTCACTATGAGTTAGAATTGATTTGCAACAACAACAACAACATCCCACTGAGCTCTACTTGCTTGTTTAAACTCTTTTATATCTCAAAAGAGACTGACTGGAGACACAACCTAATCCTATAGATTGCATTCTGCCTCATTAACATCACATCACAGAGGTTAAAAGTTATGACCTAGAACAACTGCATAACATCACAACATGGGGGATAATCACATACTACCAAGAATCTTGGCCTAGTCAAGTTGACACATAATTTTGAGGAGACACTATTCAATCCATTATTGGTGTAAAGTACTGTCAAGTCAGTTAAAACTCATAGCAACCCTGTGTAGGGTTTCTGAGGAGAGGCTGGTGGGTTTAAAACTGCTGACTTTGAGGTTAGCAGTCCAGTGCTTATCCCACAGTACCACACCAGGACTCCATTCAATCCATAACACCAGGTAATTCACTTCAATATTTTAGGAACTGTACACAGCCACCCTCCACTTCTCAGGATTTACTTCATCTCACATGTTTCTCTTGAGAGTTGCAAAAGAAATCACTTGAAGGATTTATAAAAATATGCAGATTCTAGATCCCCTCTCTAAAACTCTTAATTGGTTAGGGTAAGGCCCAGACATAATGTATTAAAAAACTAATCAAAGAAGTATTTGTCTAACAAAACTCATACTGCTGAAAATTACAAAATGTTGACTAAATAAAAAAGATCAAAGTATATGGAGACATATGCTCACAGACTGAAAGACTCAGAGTCAATCAATATAACATAAAGGAGCTCTGGTAGCGTAGTGGTTACGAATTGAGCTGCTAACTTCAAGGTTAGCAGTTTGAAACTGCCAGCTGTTCTGCAGGAGAAGGATGAGGCGTTCTGTTCCCGTAAAGATTTACAGCCACAGAAACCCTGTGCAGGGTTGCTATGAGTCGAAACTGACTCCACAGTACTTAACAGCAACAACAATAAACTAAGGTAAAGTCAAAAAGACAAATAAAAACCTACCTCCCCAGTGATTCTAACATGCATCCAAGGTAGAAACCACTACAAAGAGGTTGTCCCCAACTACAGAAAGATAAATAAATGCTCAGCACCTTTGGTGGGCAGCAGTAAACAGGACTGACCAGTTGTGAGCAACAAAACAACTTCTTTTTTTGGCAATCGCCAGTTGGGCATTTAGGAGGGAGAACAGTTATCTTATCAATTCATGTCCAAAGTGCTTCAGCTTCTACTGTATTCAGTTGCCAAGGACAAATCTTATCCAACCTGTTGGGCAAAGCTGAGCCAGGTGGGCACTGCCACAGAATTTGCAAGAGGGCAGAACCGGGGGAAAGGTGAAGTAGCCCTGGGGCGCACAGTGTAGCATTACCAGTACTCAGCAAATATCCACTGTACCAAGAGGACACAGAGCCCCCTAAACACATCAAAGTGGTTTGGCTTAATGCCTCTGAGAAGTGCAGTGAAGTAAGAAGTCCAGCATTTGTTACTTAAAATTTCAATTACCCTGAATAAGATCAATCTCATTGCCCCTCAGTTCTACAGAGAAAAACTGGAGCTTTCTGCCCCTTCTAGACTTAAAACAACGACTCAGCCTCCCTCCTAATCTCTCCACCTGAACACTGGAATCTATCCCCCCTCACCTTTCCAGGAGAGCACTCATCAGTGACTCTCCTTTTCCGTTTCTTCTAATTCTCTACTCACTTTGGCTTTCAAACATGCTCAAGTCTCCCTCTTCCTAAAAAAATCTTTCTCTGATTCTGTCTTCCTACAGAAACTCTCCAGCCCCCTCCTTACTTTCACTGGTCAAACTCATTATCTATAGTACCGCCTCACTTTTCACCCAACCCTCTGCTTCCTATAACATCGCTCCCACCACAATCATATTATTATTATTGTTACTTTTTATTATAAATTAGGTGAAGGTTTACAGAACAGATTATCAGTTTTAAATTCAACACATTATATGCTTTGTTTCATTTTACTGGTTACAATCAACTCAAAGTAACATCACTTACCCACCTCCTCTCTGTGTTTCTTGTTTCCTTCTTTCCAAACCTCTTTGACCTTGTCCTTAAATCCTTGTTTACTTGAAATGACTGACCATCCTATGGTGTGTATACCTCACTAGTGTTGTTCGTCACCCTATGTTGCTAAGTGCTGTTGAGTCAGTTCTGACTCATAGTGACCCTGTATAATGTTTTCACGGACCAGTGGGTGGGCTTAAACAATAGACCTTATCGTTCGCAGTCCAGTGCTTACCCTATAGCACCACACCAGGAGTCCAGTTGCCTGGCTGAAAATTGAACCACGGGAATGAGTTCCATTCCAGACCTAAGGTGACATGGCTTCCACCAGAGTCTCTAGCTGACCAGTAAGCCTGGACTTTTTTCTGATTTCGAGTCCCCACCCTTACTTTTATGCTGATGGCGTTCAGTGGCCTCCTAATTGTCAAACCCTAGAAAGTCTATTTCATCCGTTTTCATATTTCACTGTGGCTTTCGAAGCTGCCTCCTTCTGGCATGTCTCCTGGTTTTCTATGGTTTTCCAGGGTAGTCTCCGCTGACCCTGCTTCCCTTAGCGTTGTTTGCTGCTTTCAAACTGGCCCCAATTCATGGCAGCCCCATGAACAGTGGAGCAGCAGCTGTCTGGTCTTGTGCCATCCCCATGCTTAGGTGTGGATCAGACCATTGTTCCTTTATAAAAAAAAATTTATTTTTATTTTTTATATATCCATGATTCAAGCTCTTTATTTTCAGTCTTAATTTCTCACTCACATCCCACCCTAACATTTCTAATTTTATACTGGATATTCTATCGGGATGATCTTAAACTCTTCAAATTTAATATCTCCAAACTAGACTCACACCTCCCCCAATACTTTGATAAACTCAGTGTACTTTCAAAATCTTTCTCTTCTTCACACCACCCAACCAACTGACTCCCAAATATTATCAATTAACCCCCATTTGCTCATTCCAGAAAATGTCATATGCCTGGTCTTGGGAGAGGTACTGGGGAGGTAGAGCTTTATAAAATGCATCCCCAGTATAGAGGCCACAAAGTCTAAATTCAGAAATATTCTATCTCTCCATCTTCTCTTCCCAAGTCACAGACAAATCCTAGACCTCACCCCACCATCCCTGCTCTCTAACTGGCTCCTTTACTACAAGTCTTTCCTTACACCAGCCACTTCTGAATGACCAACCAGCGTATCTTTCTAGGAAACAATTTAGACCAAACAACCCTCTTCCTTTAATTGTTCCCCATTCCTTCAGTGAAAGCCAAGGACAGCCCAGGGTCCTTCAAACTTGAGGCACAAGCCTGACAGACCAAACTTGTATAAATATGTCCCCATTCACCCCTTATACCTATCTCTTCCACAAACTGCACAGGCTTCGCTCCATCAGAAATACCATAACTCCTCTCCAAATGCTCTACCTTATAAATCTCATCCTTTCTTCAACATACAGCTCAAATGGCTCCTCCTCTATAAAGTATTTGCTGGCATTTCCAGGCAACTGATGTGTCTGTTCCCAAAAACACTGTTTATACTTTTACTCTAGCACTTAATATAGGAGCTCTGGTAGCATAGTGGTTACGAATTGGGCTGCGAACCTTAAGGTCAGCGGTTCGAAACTACCAGCTGCTCCGCGGGAGAAAGATGAGGCTTTCTACTCCCGTAATGATTTACACCCTCGGAAACCCTGTACAGGGTCGCTATGGGTCGGAACCGACTCGACGGCACTTAACAACAACAACAACAAAGCACTTAATATGGAACATTATATAATTGCTGATTTTCATGTCTTGCCCACACTCCTTTAACAAAGTTGTTAGGGACGTGTTTGTTTATATCTCAAGACTCTTACTATGTTGTTGTTATGTGCTGTGGAGTCAGTTCTGACTCATAGCAACCCTGTATATGGGTTTCCAAGGAACGACTGTTGGGTTTGAACCATCAACCTTGTGGTTAGCAGTCCAGTGATTATTCTACAGTGCCACACCAAGACTCTAATTACATATAATACATAATAATAGACAAATAATTAATATGCATTGCACACTTACTATGTGCTAGGCCAGAGTTTCTCAGCTTCAACACCAATGACATATTGGGCAGACTCGTTCTTTATTGTGTGGGACATCATTATGCACTATGGGGTGTTTACCAGAATCCCTGGCCCTTATCCCATTGCTTCCCCCCACCCTAGCCCCAACCCATTCTAGTTGAGAAAACAAAAACATCTTAAAAAAAACAAATCAACTGTTGTCTAGTTGATTCTGACTTATAGTAACAACAACAACAACAGAGCAGAGTAAGGCTTCCAAACAGTAAACTGTTATGTGAGCAGTCTCATCGTCCTCCCAAGGAGTAGCTGGTGCATTTGAGTTGCTGACGCTCAGTTAGCCGCCCAACATTTAAGCCACCACACCACCAGGGCTCCTAAATATCTTTGTTGTTATTGTAAAGTGCCCTCAAGTGGTTCCAACTCATAGTAAGCCTGTATAAAGTTTTCCAGGTGCGGCTGGTGGGCTTGAACCACTAATCTTGTGATTACCAGTGCTTATCCTACAGCACCATACCAGAGCTCCAAATGTCTCTGTTGTTGTTATTGTTTAAGATGCCATCAAGTTGGTTCCAACTCATAGTGACCTTATGCACAAAACACTGCCCAATCCTGTGCCATCCTCACAATCACTGTTAAGCTTGAGCCCATTACTGCTGCCACTAAGCCAAACCATCTCATTGGCGGTCTTCTTTTTTGCTAACCCTTCACTTTAGCAAGCATGAAGTCCTTCTCCAGGGATTGGTGCCTCCTGATAAAATGTCTGAAGTATGAGAGACAAAGTCTACCATCCTAGCTTCTAAGGAGCGTTCTGGCTGTACTTCTTCTAACACAGATTGGTTGTTTTTTTCTGACAGTATATGGTACTTTCATATTCTTCACCAACACCGTAACTCAAATACAATTCTTCTGTGGTCTTCCTTATTCAATGTCCAACTTTCACATATATATGAAGCTACTGAAAATACCATGGATTGGGTCAGACACAACTTAGTCCCCAAATTGACATATTTGCTCTTGAACACTTTAAAGAGGTCTTGTGCAGCAGATTTGCCTAACACAATACATCATTTAATTCCTTGACTACTGCTTCCATGGGTGTTGATAGTGGATCCACACTAAATGAAATTTATGACAACTTCAATCTTTCCTCCATTTGTCATGATGTTATTTATTGATCTAGAGGTGAGGATTTTTGTTGCGTTGAGATGCAACCCATACCAAAGGCTTTTGTCACTGATCTTCAACAGTAAGACTTTAAACTCTCTTCACTGCATATTGTGAAGCAAGGTTATCATCTGCATATTGCATGTTGTTAATGAGTCTTCCTCCAATCCTGATTCCATGTTCTTCTTCATATAATCCAGCTTCTCAGATTATTTGCTCAGTGTACAGATTGAATAACTATGGTGAAAGAATACAGCCCTGATTTTAAGCCATTCAGTGTCCTCTTGTTCTGATTGAAGAACTTCCTTTTGGTCTATGTGCAGGTTCCTCAACAGCACAATTAAGTGTTCCAGAATATCCATTCTTCACAATATTGTCCACAGCTTGTCATGATCCACACAGCACAAAGCCTTTGCATAGTAAATAAGGCACAGGTAAACATCTTTCTGGTGTTATCTGCTTTCAGCCAAGACCAATCTGACATTAGCAATGATATCCCTTGTTTCAAGTTCTCTTCTGAATCTGGCTTGAACCTCTGGCAGTTCCCCATCAGTGTACTGTTGCAGCCATTTTTAAATTATCTTTAGCAAAAATTTAATTGCATGAGATGTTAACGATATTGTCTTTGTTTGATGACTTCTGCATTCTGTTGGGTCACCTCTCTTTGGAATGGGCACAAATATTGATCTCTCCCAATCAGTTGGCCAGGTAGCTTGTCTTCCAAATTTCCTGGCATATATTAGTAAGTGCCTCCAATGCTGCCTCAGTTTGTTGCAAGATTTCAATTTGTATTCCATCAATTCCCAGAGCCATGTTCTTTGT